TGGCGTACTACTGGCACCTACTGGCTACTGAGGAGGGCATGGAGTCCTTGGAGAGCGCTTCGACTTTGAAGGAGGCAGCAGATCAGGGTGCCAAGGTGGCCAAGTCTCAATCGCTTCTTGGCCAGAGGACTCCTGGCATCTCTTGGCCAACTAGGCACTGAGTAGCGATGCTGAAGTAAAGAGCTGAAGTTGTCCCTTTGGTCTGTTGAGCCTCGCGCTCAAGCGTGCAGAGTTCAGGGATCTTCAGGGCACTTGCGTCATCCATGCATGGATATCCATGGCCATTGCCATCCTGTGCCATCCTTTGCCTTAGGTTCTTGGCAGACGGGCCGCCTTCTGGCGGGATGGTCGCGCCCTCACCCCTTTCTGGCTATGCGGTGACGACGGCATTTTCTGGAGCAACAAGTGGCTGGGTCGACGAAGATGTCGGCAGCTTGACCTTCGCCTTCTACATCTTTCCGGTGAGAGAGAGACTGGGCTGACTATCCTGCCATTGCTCCGCAGAACTTGAGCTTCGTTGCGCTGTAAGCTGCTTGGACACCTGAGGAATGTCACCATGGACTCTGAAGGCAAGAGGGTCTTGTGCTAGAGCCAGAAAATCCTTTGAGGGGGGCGCTAGGGTCGTTTGGACACCAAGCTGTCGTGGAGGCCTTGCAGTCGACGACACCTTTGACCCGCAAGTTGAGCCAAAGCCAGCACTGTGCACTGCGCTCTCATACGCTGTAACTCTGTCGTCTGTCGTTCTATCGCCTTTGCGGCCTCTCTCTCTCTCTCTCTATCTCTCGTTCTCCCTGTGCGCCTCTCGCTCTCTTTCATTGGTGTCTGATCATGCCTTGTTTGTCTTTCTCTCTTCATGGTTGTTGTGCTTGAGTGGCGCAGAGCCTCCTTAGGTTTGCAGAACTCAGGGAAGGAAAAGCACTGAGATCCAAGGAGTGGAATAATGCCAGTAGTCCCTCGTACTGGGTGAATCTGGGTGGCACGCTTTTGGTCAACATCTCCGATCCAACAGCTGGATGGAATGTGCCGGCAGCCTGGCTGAGAATACAGCTATGATATGCCGGGCGTCTAGGCCATAGGCGCTGCACTCGCCATGGGACATTGCCGATAAACGGTCAGCAAAAACATACCCCGCGCAAATCTGGTAAGCTCTGGTGGTGCCATAAGTTCATATATATATATATATATGTTCGTTAAGACATCAAAGCACCGACCAAGACATGCATGCTGTCTTCCAGGTTGCCGCTGGCACCTATTTTATGGCCGTGGTTGCTCGCGACCATCTGGGACTCCGGGCGCAAGTCGAACTCATGATGTTTTGTCTTCTTCCATGTGCCCGTCGCCCCAGCATACTTCTGGCATGCCAGCCGTAAGTCCAGGGTGTATGTAACCGGTGATATAGGGCGCCTGCGACAAGCCTCTGTGACACATGAAACAAGTGACCCCCCACTACACAGAGAAGGGGGCCCCGAACACTGCGAAGTGCCTGTCATGCACATACAGCTAGGCAACATTGATTCCTTGCCCAAGGAGCTACCTCAGCAGCCTATGCCCTGGGTCCTGTGGTGGGAATTCCAACAGGCGCATGCCCAAATCGCTTGTAGTTGATTGTGGAGCTTGGGGCTTACTCGTTGGCAGGATTTGGAGGTTAGAGCTGTTGGAGTTTCTTGCCAGTTGTAATGCCAATCCACAGCCTAAAGACTCCAGACTCGAATCATCCGAATCCCAAAGCTTCAGCTTGGGAATTGTGCCAGGCCACAGAACTCATTGGATGTTTATAGTGGGATCAGGAAGCAACTCCCAATGCTTTTCTACTCCCTGAATATGTACATGCTGATAATTCAGAATTGGGAGTTCTCTTCAGCAGCGAAACCGAGGATTGGACAGCAGTACAGCCCTGGCCGCCTTAGATTCGGCACTGGCAACGGACGACCCCTTCACACTGCTGGGGGCGCTGGATGCCCTGGGCTCCATCACGCTGGCCACTGGGGAAGAAGAGACACACCTAACGGTCCTAAATCAACCCAAAGCCTTTAGTTAGCTCCACATGGTAACAATGAGGGTCCAGCTATATATCGCTATTTTGCTGTACAGATGTATCCCATGTGCTAGGTTAGGCTGAGTGCGGTTCAGCATTGAACAGCCGCTTTGAGCTTTGAGGCGTGGGTTGCATCCTTGTCTGCTTGAGTTCAGGCGCTGCAAACAAGTTCCCTGGTGTCGAGAATTTGCGCCAAACTAGGATGGAGTAAACTTGTTGAGTTGACTCTAGATCAGAGTCCCAGAGTACCGCTGGCCGAGGAAGGCAACGCCAGTGAGCATGCGGCCGTGAGACGGAAGCAGCTGGAGGCCCGACAAACCAAAGAGGCTTCGCTAAGCCCAGCTAATATGACTGCTGTCTGGGTGTAGTTGCCGTCGTTCGTTCGGGTGGAATCGCTAGGGCGTGGAATATGGGTGGGCATCTGGAATATAGAGATTGCTGGCAGAGCTTACCGTTCTCTGCGTTTCCCCCACATTGCGCTATTTCATTTTTGTCTTTTCCGTTTTGTGTGTCAGAGAGCCTTATACAGATGCACTTTAGAGGCCATCTCGGCCGTGTCTGCGGCGATGTCCACGGACACGAGCAGCAGCGGCCTCAGGACACAAGGAGGAAGAGAGATAGAGATCTGAGGAAATTCAGCGAGAAACAGAAAAGGTTAAACAGAAAGAGAAAAAACAAAAGGGGGAGTTCAAAATGACACACAAGAAAAGAAGTCCACCGAGGCCTTGTCAAGTTCGGCAACGTGCTTGCCGACTTCCTGGTGTCGGAGGGTGTTGCTGCGGCTGATGCAGACTCGGCGGCCCTGGCACTTGACAATGTCTTGGATGCACCTGAGACGCATTGAGACGCGATTTCTGGGTCTGATGCATCTGTCAGTTTCTTATCTGCTGCCCATTGCATCTCTGCTGAGCAGGCAGTGGCCGCTGCAGGCGCACAGGGCGGGCTGCTTGCACGTGCTATCACGTGCTTGTGCAGTCTGTATGCATCTCGCAGCGTTCGAAAAAGGAGGGCGGGGACACGGACAGGTGTGGACGAGGCCGCGGGCAATGCCCTGCTAGCCTCCATCGCAGCAACGGGGGACAGCTATGCTGCTGCCCAAGGCGGGCAGAGCCAGGCCGCTTCCTGGGCACGGGCCGCCAAGGTGGAAATCATGGCCCCCTGGCTGCGGGGATTTTTTTTGGGCAGTGGGTAGCAACAAGAAACAAGAATAGACACGGAGCTATGAAGAGCCGGAAAATATTCTTGTTGAGCGCTCCTTCGTTTCAGACGTCGAAGCTGGGCAGCGCGCTGCTGGCGAGCGCGGTGGAGGGCGTCCCGAGTCAACTCCGAGCGCTCAGAGATGGCCGGGGCCTGGCGCCTCGGAGAACAAAAACGGAGAACAACAAAACGGAACTTGGGACATCCCTATAAACACACCACACCGAAGCTGCCTCGTGAGTGGCATTAAGGGCAACTCCTGCAGATATCCACCTGCTTGTCGCAGGAAGTGACGGTTCAGAAGGAGGACATTGGCAGTGCCAGGGCAAATGGATTCTCGGACTCCGGCTTGCAGGCGCTGAGATGCAATGTGTTGACTCGAGAGGGGGGGGGGGGGGGGGGCGGCGAATGAAAGTTCGGATCAGTGCAAATGCATGGGCTGGGAACACGCTTGCCTTGCTAAGATCCCTGGCGCCGCTGTGAACAGTTTCAGTCAGCAGCGCCGCCTTGCAGAGTGTGAGACGCTCGCGGTGCAACAAACCGACTGGGTCCTCAGAAGCTCGGCTGAACATGCTGCGATCATACACTCGCTCAGCAATCATGTGCTCGATGACGCCTGCACCGTGCACGGCGTCTTGCAAGACTCAGGCAATCCTTTTGGCTTCCTGAACCAGAGCCACCAAGCTGACCTATGGGAGCTCATGGACCATTCGACATATCCGACACAGTTTTATTTATGTTGTGGGCCCTGCGCAAGTACATCACGTGTCTGAAAGTACATCACGTGTCTGAATGTGTCTGGGCCATCCTGCCCAGGCGTCGGGATTAACGAGTACATCCGGGCCAATGCGACAATCAAAGTACTGGAGATCAAGCAGTGTGGTGCAATTCGATCAACATCGGGTCTCGACTCGCCGATCGCCATGTCCCTGCCAATGCCACTGAGCGACGTCAAGCCATTCGTGAGGTTCTTGACTATAGCAAGAGCTCACAATCAGTGCATGCCCAATGGGCCCATGGGATATAAACAAAATTATATGAAATATATGCTTCGTTTGGAGTACAGGACCGACAACATTGACAGCGACTCGCCACGCCTGTGCGGAATTGGGGCCTCAACAGGTATCAAGGGTGTGCTTTCTGAGGCCGAAACTCTATTGTCGTGACGTTTGAGAAATCGTGCCCCGCTGTCTCGGTCCCGTGCTGGTCCCGTGCACATGCTATCTCGCAGTCTCCTCGCGAAGCGTGGGTTTGGCTTCGAAATCGTGCGAGCACATTCTGTGGTTGAAATCACGCTCATGCCCCGGCCCTGTGCCTATTCTCTTCGTGAAGTGCAGACGTGCAGAATCGCCATCGCTTTGGGATCTTTTGGGCTGCGGAAGTGATCACGTAAGTGCCACTTGCTTCCGTAGGTGCATGCGATGTGGCTTGGTCTTACACCGTTTTGGGGTCTATGACGGCATTATCCGGCATTATTCTAGAAAAGTGTATTCTATACATTACATTGTTTAACTATTGTTTATGTGTGCGTATATACCTTTATACATGTGGAAATATAGACTGTGGCTATATGGGGGCGGGCTAAGGCCGGCAGCGCCCACAGTACCAGCCCCGTACGGTTATGGGTACGAGGTGCGCTGTGTCAGGCTTGGCCCCATGGAGAAGGCAGGTGGTTCTGGAAACAGGTTGGGTGCTTGAGAGATTTGAGAGTTGTGGGCCATTGTGGGCCCTCGAGCCGGGTCCCTGTCAGGGATGGTCGACCAGTGCGATGGCTTGGGAAGACCCTGAAGCCAATACCATCAATTGCTTTACAACTGAAAGTGGCGGGGCTTTCACGGCTGCCTACTTGCCTGTTGCCCTCCCCGAGACATCCACCGCGCCCGACATGGCCTTTGCGGTTGGAACTTCCATTGCCTCTGTGTGCGTGCTCGCCATGTGCGGCATAGTCACCTGGCAGGCACGCGCCGGGAACGTGAAGGTCAACCTGGCGAATGGCGCGTGCAAATGGATGGCCGAGCCTTTCCAAGGAAAGAAAAGCCGCGTGGCCCCAACCCCAATCGAAACACCCCGCAGTGTCCCACAGCTTGCCTGGCAAGCCAGTGGGCTGAGTGCTCTGAGCAGCATCAGCCGTGGCCACGTCAGCCCCAAGCACTTCAGCCCAAAGAGTTTGCAGGGACGGGAGGACTTCTGGAACTGGGCAAGGGACTTGGTGGGCTCTGCAAGCCTTCCACAGCTCCCATACAGCCAGTCCTTCAACTTTGGGGACCCTGCATCCAGCTCTCTGCCCTCTCCAAGCACGCTTCAGAGGGCCAAGAGTGTGCCCAATTTTTTGAGCCAACCCGAGAACGTGGAGATCCAGGAGAGCATGAGCCCAAAGAGCCCAAAGAGCCCAACGCATGTCTCGGATGCCCGAGACCACTTCTCGGACTGGACCACGGACATGCGGGACAAGATGGAGCTGGGAGCGAATCATAGCCCAGCCGGCCGGCCCGGCTCTGCATGCTCCGTGCGCTCGGCACGCACCGTGCTTTCTTCACGATCGGCCAAACCGGAGTTGCCTGAGTTGCCGGGCACATCAAACTCCTTCATGCTAGGCCAATCCATGGCCAGCACCCCACCAAGCCTTCCGAGGCCACACTTTCCTCCCAAGCCTCATGAGGAGAAGGAGGAATATTTCAGAAGCTTTGAGCAGGAGGGCATGGGCCATGGGTTAGGTCCGGTTAGGTTGTTGTCTGTACACGTGGTATCTGACCATTGGAGTAGACAGTCAATGAAAGCCGTAGAGCCCATGAATCTGTCAGCATCTTGTCATGTTTGCACTCCAGGAGCTGAGGGACATCGTTGGCTTGGGCATCCCCATGCTCCCGCATTCTCCCGCTTCCCGAACTTCCCGACACGTTTGGCCACCTCCACCTCCACCACCAAAGTGCAGCAGCTCGACAAGGCTGGCCCCGAAGCCGCCGCCGCACCCTCCTCCGCAGAACATGCAATCCTTTGTCGACCCACCCATGGTCGAGGATGCCGAGCATGTTGAGGTGAGGGTGGACCAGGCCTTCTTGGACTGGACCCGCGACTTTGCTGTACCGACCATCGCCAAGGCCACACCTCCATTCCGGCCACCCCCCCCACCATTGCCCCGAACTTCGCCTACACCTCCAGCTCTGCCGGCAGCTCAAGCAGTGCCATGTTTGCCAATCCGGCCACAAAGCTGCCGAAGCTTCGACCCGCACGAGCAGAACTCGAGCTCCAGCTTGCGAAGCCTGCGCAGTGCTGTTGTTCGGATCTCCTTGGAAGTGTTTTGTGTTTTCTATTATTTTCTAGATCGGTTGCGTCGCATGCACGGCATTGACCAAATCTCGCACGACATGCATCAAACGAGCTCCAGAAATGCAAGACAACGCAAGAATACCATGCTATGCTCCTTTAATGGCGACTTCCATGTTGCATCTCTTGATGTCCGTAGTGTTAAAGATCGCCTGATGAACGCTCGTCAGCTTTGAGTTCCTTTGCAGTCTGAGACTTCGGTCCTTTCCGAGGCAAAAGCTGGCCAGCCAGCAACAGTAACATCTACATCGGTTTCGATAACGTCTCAGCTCTCAGACCAGCCGCACGCACCCTTGGTACCGCCACCGCCTACGGTGCCTTTGAAGCCCCCTTCGCCCCCTCATTGCAAGCAGGTCTTCATTAAGTTCATTTCGTTTCCCAACAGGGCTCTTGGGTGATTGTGTCTTGAGACATGTCGAGAGCGTTTTCGACTTTGCCAGCTCTGCGTGCGGCACAGCGGAGGCTTGCGCTTCCGGATCGCCAATTCCTGTCACAAGAACACGAAGGCTGCGCAGAGGGGGAATCCGAAAAGCTACTGTATGGGACGTATTTGGGTTGGCTTCTTGCCGCTGGGGCTTCTTCACGAAGTCTTACTTGCAAACTGAAGGAGCCATTGAATTAACGAGTCTGCTGCGACTGCAGCAATTGCGCCACAGGAAACAGAAACCGGACGACGCGACATGCCGATATTGCCCTCCTTAGCCAGGATTTGCGAGAAACAAGGAATCTTGTGATGCTTAGTGCGATGTTTCGAGAATGCATAGCAAGCACTGGCCTTCATGGGCTTAAGCCTCTCCAGTGCCTCTGCACGGCAGACACACACACACACAGACAGAGACACAGACCGCGTGTTGCACGTGACGTGCTGTCCGAGGTGCAGAGAGGAGCGAGGACACGCCTGAAGGAGGCCTCACAAGCTGCAGTGGAGGGCTCTCTTGCATGGAGAAGAAGACGTCCTCATCCCCCCCCCAATCCCTCTTTCAAACTCGCAGCAGCTAGCAGTAGTTCAACGGAGTTCTTGAAGCGTCATCTGCGTAGCACTTCTCGCTGCAGAACTTCACTGTAGAGGCATTGCAAATGTAGAGAGAGGGTATCAGATTGTCATCCCAGGTTCGCCAAGCTCTTTGGATGCATGATTGGGAGGGGGAGGGGGGGGGGGTGGGGGGAAGCCATGAAAGAAACCAGTGAAGCGCAAAGCAGCTCCAAGACCCAGGCGACGCCTCCTCCACACTGCGGTGAGTTACCCGCCCGTGTCCCAAAGACAGCTCTCGCTTCCGCACCTGTGCCGCATGAGCGGAGGCATGTTGTTTGGCGGCATTGGCGGCCCTGTTTCCTTAGTTTCCTTACAAAGTGGCAAAGCCATCAGGTTGGCCTGAATGAGGCGAGTCCGAAGCGGCCGAACCTGCGAAGGTTCACAGGCCTCCATCGAACTCTGCCGTTGGCCTTTTTCATTGAATATATGCGTTTGGACATATATTGAATATATTGTTTTGATGTTGTTCTTGTTTTTGCTATGTGTTTTTTTGTAAGGTTATTCGTTAGTGGCGGGCACTGGGTCACTGGTACTAGCCTGCTTGTTTGTGGGCTTTTCTGGGTTAGGGGGTGCGGGGGATGATAACGTCCCTTCCTGCGCTCAATTTACAGCGTTCTTGCCTCATTGCACAACGTAATGCAAACGGATGCTTGACGTTTCTGGATCAAAACGTGCTGCCGCAAGCGTTCATGTCTTTTGTGAGCATGCCAAAAGCACGGTTATTTACAGCATTATTGATTGAGGTTAGGGGGGGGGGGGGGGGTTAACCGCGTGGCGACACACTCAGACGAGACAGCATTTGGAGCAAGTGCAACCGAAAGACACAGCCAAGGCCGAGCTCACGCAGATGTGCGTCATTGTGCGTCCATCAAGATCTTGTAATGATTGTAATGAGTCCATGGCTAGATGACGGCTCCTTGTCTGACGTGGCTGAAAAGCAGCCCAGCCATCAAGCTCCAGTCACGAACATGCTCCATTGCCAGCTGCCCCGCAGGAGTTGGCCTCCTTAGCGGACCTAGGGTAAAACGAAGCAGTTAGAGCAGAAGCCGCAAGTCAAGAAGGCGCAACACAGCATACAAAGTTATGGATGTGGGTGTTTACTGAGTTTCGTTTCCTGAAATAGTCGCACAGCATCGCAATTTCCTGCTGCGGGACAGGAGGCCGTGCAATGTACACACATCACACATGCTGTACGCGGCGTCACTTGGTTTTCGGGAATAGGAAATTTTGGTGCTGGCGCCTTGAAACGTAGCGGGGTCCATGGAAATGCTGCCGGTTTCTCAAATGCGACACCTTTGTGCCAAGACATGTGTGTTGCTGGAATTCAGTAGACGTGCGACGTACCGCGGGCGGATATTGTGTAAGTTTTTAAATTTAGGACCTAAAAAAGCCATTGCGTATGTGGATGGTTCCTTTAGAACTAATGACTAATGTCGTCAGTCGCGACGTACAATGTCTTTATTTCTGGTCCTTTTGGCAACCAACATAGCTTAAACATGTAGCACAACATTCTGCCTTTCCCACAAGCACCACCCAGACACAATGACATGATGAGACGAAACATGCTAATGTATATGTATAAATATATATAGAGTCATGAAAACTACTTGGAACATCATTGTTAAAATAATTATCATTTATTGCTAAGTCAAGCATGACACATTCTGCAATCAGCTCTGCCGCGGTCGCGGAGTCTTCCTGATTGCAGGGTGCGCGCCAATACCAACCACTAAAGACTTGCAAAGCACATGTAGACTCGTTGCCGCGTGGTGTTGCAGGTGCGGCCAAAATCCAGTCCATCATAAGTACTCGACAGGGGAGATCTGCGACTGCGCATGAAACGGGTCACCAGCGCCCGACTGTTCGCAACTCTGCAAACCAAGCATTCCTTATTTGCGCACCAATGTTAGTATGCAAATGCTTCTCAAATTCAGCAATTACAGGCTTCATATTAAAAAGTAAAGAGGAAAGTCGTAATCGAATTTTCGGGAAAGAGTTTTTTCGTAAGAACATAGAAAAGGAAACTAGCTGCCTGAGAGGGTTGCCGTTCGCGGTTTCGAAAGCGCACGGCGCCTAGGCGAGAGGCACAACCCCTGAAAAGTTATTCTACTTCGAACATCCCCACCCTCTATTGGTAGAGATACTCTGGGGTTGGGCACTCCAGGGGCACTCTGGGTTGGGCACTCCAGAGAGATTCTGGGGTTGGGCACCTGGGACAGTCTGGGGTTGGGCACTTGAGGGAGACTCTGCGTTTGGACACTCCAGGCAGACTCTGGGGCTTTCCACTCGAGGACAATCTGGTTTGAAGAGTCTGGGGTTGGCACTCCAGGGAGACTCTGGGGCTGGAAGACTGGGGTTGGGATGGGGTTGGGCACTCCAGGGAAACTCTGGGGCACTCCAGGGAGACTCTGGGGTTGGGCAAGCAAGGGACACTCCAGAGTTGGGCACTCCAGGGACACTTTGGGGCTGTGCACTCCAGGGAGCGAGGAGTAGACCGGGCGAGGAGAAGAGTTCCGGGCGATGAGAAGAGTTGAGTTTAAAATCTAACAACCCCACACCGAAGGTGGGCACCAACAAATCCTTATCTGATTGCGTGCCCTTTGTGGTGGTCGTGTGTGGCCTGCTTCGTATATGTATATATATATATAGTTGCAATTCTTGGCATACGTCGCGGAAGCCTTTTGTACCAGAACAATGGCTAAGCAGGCTGCAGAGAAATCAGTATAGAGATGTGCGTTACTTTCTTTTCATGTTGCTTGTTTCATTTTCCAACCGAGGCTGGGATGGCGCTGCATGGCCATGGGAGAAGAAGCCCTCGTCTCACGCTCTGGGCATGATTGGGCTTCAGTTTCGATCTTTCGGAAATGTCAGGTCACAACACGTTGTTGTCCATGCAAAAAGCCCTTGACTGTGTACCATGCTACTAGTTGTGAGTACTGCACAAAGCTCACAACGATGAGAACTTCACATGTTTCTGGGTTTATATCAGGGACTTCGGGTTCTCGTTTCCAATTGTTCCCAGAGCTGGGGCTTAAAAGAGACTTCACGTTGGTGCGCTGCATGACTGCAGCTCGTCAACACTGAGCCACGATTCGATCTGTGACAGAGATGCTGCTCGTGAAGCTCTGTACAAAAAGCATGTGCAGTAGGCAAGCGAGGACAGGGCTTTGGGCAAGATGCAACTTGGTGCGGCCAGGGGGGAGGGGGAGGCAAAAACTAGGGGAAGTGGAAAAAATTAGCTGATGAGCCTTCAAGGTGGCAGGTAATTTCCTCTTATCTTCAGCAGAAGAGGCATATTCTCTTGGTTATGCTCCAACGACTGCTTGCGCACCAATGTCACTATGCAATTAAGTCCCTGGTGCAGACAAGAATGCGTGACCCTAAGCCTTCGGACCGCGACGGGTAGGAAGATGTAGGAAGAGTTGGGGCCCAGGCCTCCTCAACACACGGGACGACAAGAAAACCCACAAGCAGCTCCAGGCCCTCTCCCCTCTACCTCTCCCCTCTCCCCTCTCCCCCCTCTCCCCTTCTCCCCTCCCCTCTCCCTCTCCATCCCCCCTCCCCCCGCTCTCTTGATCCCTCCTCTCTCTCGCTCTTGCTCTCGCTCTGGCTCTCTCTCTCTCTCTCTCTCCCTCTCTCTTTCTCCTATAAAATCGTGTCGACGCGACCTCCGACTTGGACTTGAGTGCAACCACTACTGACCCGATCCGAACTGCCCGTAATTTCAAGAATGAAACTATACCAACTGAGGGGCACCGACTTTTTCATTAGATGAGCCTAGCCTAGTGCACAAAGAGCCATCGACCATAGAGTAGCAAAAGCGTGGGAGACTAAGAGAGGGAAGTTCCTTTTCACATCCCCAAAGCGGGAAGGGGAAGGTCACCAGCTCTTGCGCACTGCCATGGGCCGGGGAAAAGCGAAGATCCAGATCCCTGAGTGCCGCTATGGCACCGCATGCACGCGGAGGAGCTGTGTTGAGCTGGAGCGAGAGAGCATTCTGAAAGAGTGCAGGCAAAGGTTGCGCCTGACAAAAGCTTGTTCTATCAAGGGTGCCCTGCTGAGGGATTGCGTCTTCAAGCACCCTCCCAAGCCGGCGAAGTCCAATGCCTTGCTCTCAGAGGTTTGACTGCGCTACTCCACGACCACATGCACATGCGCACAGACACTCACTTGGATGGTTTGAGCTTGTGCCCGCTGAAGGCACACCCGGTGGAAAAGTCCGACAAGGCGGGATGTACTCGCATGGGTGTCTGCGGAGGACAGTCCTGTGCTTCCGACGATCCAACCCCCACAATATGTGGATAGGTCTGCTTCGCCTTCGTGGCCGGCAAGTGTGCCTTCGGCCGGCAGTGTCACGACAAGCATCCCGATGAGGTCGGGAGTCCGCAGTGTGCAGACGGTGTTGTGGGCGGTTGCGTGCGGCTGCGTCAGGTTGAGGCTGGCACATAACTATATGTATATATATATATATATAGATATAGAGCACATGTGTGGAGTCGAGCAAGTGACAAATGAAGAGCAAGGCGTCATGTCAAAGCATCAAAGAGCGCTATGGCAAGATCGACTGCCAGTGGGGCCGTGGCTGCCGCACCGACGGGTGCCCGCAGCCTTCGATCTTCCTCGATTCCGGATCTTGCAGCATCGTTTGTTCCACAAATCTTCGGCCGGAGGTGTCTCTACCGTCACCCGAGTGACGAGCCTGTGGGCCCTGCACTGATGCTGGAGACGAAGCCGCAGCCAGCAGCCCGAAGGCTCAGAGGCTTGCGGATCTATTCGTCTGTCATGACTCTTGAGTCACCCGTCACTGCAGTCCAGGTCTATGCCCAGGGCTACAAGAACGTCGAGGCGCCAACCGTCGTTTGAATCGGACACTCCCAAGCGCGGGAAGTCGGAAGACAGTAGTGCTGCTGCCTCTTGAGTATACAATCCAGGCGCTCTCGAAGTTCATAACGTATGCCATGAAAATGAACATCGCACCCATCGCCTTCAGAAATAAGAGCGCAGCTTCCTTCTCGCGGGGAGGTGCCCTCGTCGGCACCTTTTGGCACCCTCGGCACTGTGGAGGCCCCAAAACGCGTGCGTGAAAGCATGCGTGAAAACACTGTAACACGCGCAACAGCACTTCTCTCCCTGGCGTGTGCAGCAAGTATATACTGTGATTCCACCAGGACGCTGCAAGACCGCTCAAACTAGAGGGCCGATCCCCAGAAGCAAGAATCCTCGCCTTGAACCGGTGCTTGCTTTCTTAGCAGAGATTGAGGAGTCATCTTGAGCATTCTTGATCATTCTTGATCCCCTCCTAGTACTAGTCGTTTTGGCTTTGCGAAAGAAGCTAGACCGAAGCCAAGGAAAAGCTGCCTGCGTCAATATGCAATCGGTGGCAAGAACAAGCCAAGATTTACTGTACTCTGCATTGTGCAGGGGGCCCGAAGTGTTTAGACAAGGCACATGCATCTTTTGGGGCTTCCCATAATGCCTCTTCGTCCCGTGGAAGACATGCAAAGAAAACGCAATCCGAGAGACAACCTCGAATAATAGACTCTTTTTTGCTTTGGAGTTGGTCATGGTATCCTTCTACACTCGATCTCGAGCCGTTGAAGTTAAAGACTTTCGAAGAAGTTAAACGTACTATTCACAGTTGGAAGTTCGAAAGTCTGAAGGTTGCAGGGTTGCAGCATTAAAGACTGAACCGTATGAGCAGCACTTGTTCAAGTTACCACATCAACAGTTGTTTACTCAACTGATTTCTTCGAACCTCTGCCATTGAAAGGAATTTGACTGTAGTGGCTCGTGACAAAAGCCATGGCTTCAATTAGGGCCTAAATTGGCCGACGCAGCCGTGCATCGAAAGAACGAAAGAACGAGGGCGTTAAGGGCAGCGTTTGCAGAATTATGCTGCGACCAGCACTGTAATGTGTACACCCAGGCGTCGGTATTGAAGGGCAAAAACATCGCAGGCTTTGAGTCGGCGTATCCCTGCGATGCAGAGATCATGTGAAATGATTGGTAATGGTTCATGTTCAATGACCCTAGAAAAGTCTTGGATGCCACACAGACATGGAGTATTCCGCTACTTCATCCTCATGATCCGAAACAGGAAGCCCTGGAGTCATGTGTTAAGCTTCCCACAATACATACAGTTCAATATTCCAATATGGTGTTGACTGGATCCCAGATTGATGCATAAGCATCCTGGAACAGCCTCGGCCTTTTCGATCTTGTGGGCCCCAAGACATATTCTAGACCTTGTCCTGGTATCACTTGCATCATGTCCGCCTATACAGAGAACCCGCTTGCCTTTTCTAGAATACGCATATGTAAGTGCTTGTCCACAGGGTCACCACTCTTTGTTGCTTCTTGTTGGAGTCTGACTTTCCCATGTCAACTTTAGTATTGGCAGTTCGCCATACCAGGACCACGGCATACCAGCAGCCTGTCTCATCTCAAGCCCTGCCGCACACCTGGCGAACCAAAAAAGAAAAGAAAACACCACCTCACCCAAGCAATCCGCCACACCCGGGAAAGCAATGCACCTCGGAAAGGCTGTTGGACATGAGCCGAGCTCGAAGTCAGCTTCGTCTCCTGCCAGGGCCTGTGGAGTGGTGAGTCACCGAATAGTCTGCCATGTCTCCACCATTCTTCCATGAGGTTCCGGATCGCGAGCGACCGCCCCTTGCAGCGGACACGATCCGCTTGCAACGTTTGAGTTTGGGTTCATTAAAGCTTCGCAGGCTGCAGGCTTTGGCCCTCCTCTCGCGTTTGATTCCGCATGCTCGCCAGGACGACGAGGAGGAAGAGGACTCTCCAAGATTGCTAAGAGTCTATATGACCTACATTTGCAAGACCTGGTCATTGTCAGACTCATGCCCAGTTCTGTCCCCAAATTGTGTCAAACGAAAAAGACTCCAACGCTTCTGTGCAAAATGGACGTTCGGGCACCAGGAGCACGTGCGGCAGGAGCAGCTGGCGGCCACACTGCGGTACATGGGCTTCGACGAGGTGACCGGCCGACGAGAGTCAAATCTGCCAAGTAATGCTCAGTAAGGCTGTCCTTCACGTCATGCAGAGCCCGTTTGTGGTCTAACCGTGCTGCAGTCGACAAGTCGACAACATCCGGGCCCCAAAGTTTTGCGACTGACGTTGCGCAGGAGCCTAGCCTCCGGCTGGCACAGCAAGCGGATGGGGATCTGAATCGAGCCGTCTGGGTCCTAGAAGACAGGAGCTCTTGTGCGCTCTTCGCGCACTGCTCTGGAGATTGTGTTCGTTTCATGGAGCCTTTCAAAATTTCTAAGTCTCAACTTGAGGTGGAGGACATGCTGCGCAAGCAATTGCAACTCGAGTGACAAAAGCTTCGCGATTGCAGAGTTGTGACGAGGAATGGCTTCACATAACAGGCTTCTGTCGAAGTTGGACCTGCAAGAATCGGAAGAGATGACCGAGAGAAGGAGAGAGAGAGAGAGAGATGGAGGTTGTGCCACCGAACTCGTGGTGGTGGTGGTGGTGGTCGTCGTCGTCGTGTTGTGCTGTTGCTGTATCGCTGTTGTACTGGTTGTATTGTTGTTGAAAGTTGGGTTATTGTTGGATTGTTGTCGGAGTGTTGCTGGTTTGTTGGTGAATTGTTGTTGGAGTGTTGTCCGAGTGTTGTTGCATTGTCGTTGGGTTGTTGTTGGATTCTTTGTGGATTGCTGTTGGTATGTTTTGGTTGGATTGTTGTTGGGTTCTTGGATTGTTGGATTGTTGGCTTGCTGGTGTTGAATTGTTGAATGACGAATTGCTGAATTGTGGAACTGTTGAATTGTTGAAAGGCTGAATTGTTGAAGCGTTGACTTGTTGACTGACTTGTTGAATTGTGTTGTTGTGTTTGCTGTTGTTGTTGTTGTTGTTGTTGTTGTTGCTACGCCGCCCATTGCGGCTGCGAGGGTTTTGCATGTTTACGGGTCTGGGGTGGGGGGCGGGGGCAATTGCGTCCGTGCATATGGCGGCCATTCCAAACCATGGGTATTTAGAGGGTTTTTTGCCGAGGATGCTTGATGTTCATGGAACAGGACACGCGGTTACAAGCGTTTCATGGCCCTGGCGAAGATAAGATGCCACAACTACTCGTATTCACAGCATTTTTGCTTCTTTATACAACATATTATGGAACAAGACACGCGGTCACCAGCGTATGCTGAAGATGCGCAACACATTGGTATTTGCAGCACAGCATAAGCACACGAACGCTGTGCGCAGTGCCTTCGCCCGAAAAACGCGTCCAAAAAGAAAGCAGGTTGAAACTCGCACTGAGCAAGTGTCGAGAACATCGCTGTGCACGGCGTTTTTGGTGATTTTGAGCATAGACAAAAAACACGCCCAGCGAGTGCGACGCGCAAAAACCTCGATTTGTTCATGTTTTCCGGCTTCCACCTCCGAAACGACACGCGAAGAAGCAGTCAGTCGATTGAGACCAAGCCAACTGGCGGCAGGGAAGGGCAGAGGCTTGGAGGCGCAGAAACCATGTGCATGGCTTGCTTTGCCAAGGATGACAGCATGCGATCGCCGGCCTGCCCATATTTTGTGATTGAGGGTTGCTCTCGCTGGTCTATTGTGGCTCCAGTGCAGTGCCTGGTTCCCGGGCGCCATGCGCTCTTCTCAGGCAGGGTCCAAAAATGTCGCCATCAGCTGATGTTCAAACTGCAAGTGCTTTTGCAATGCTTGCCCAGGCGCTGCTGCGCTTGGCCGGAGGATGGGCAAGGGGTTAAGACATGTCAAGACGCGTGTGGCCGACGTTTTATGTAGCAAAACCAATGTTCATGCAGTAAACATGGTGTTCGTTCCAAACTGTTGTGCTTGGACGACGGGCTTTAGTGTGACTGCTGGGATGAAGCAGTGGCAAATGAAATCGAAGATGCCGCGCAAGTGCAGGTGTCACGATGCCTTCAGTCTCAAAAAATCTGCTGTGTCTTTTTGTAAAGAACTGAAAGGGCTTGACGTTCTTCATAAGAATGAAAGACCTCCTCTTGGTTAGTAAAGCCTTCGAAAAAGCATTTCTTAACAAAAGAGAGAGCTCAGCTGCAGCCAGAAATAGGATGAGCGAGCCGTCCTTCCCCTCCCAAAACTTACAACCTCAGTGATTTCATCAAAGGCACATGAAACAGCAGGGCCTCTTGCCATTAAACGGAAAATTTGCAACAAGACTGTCCCTCGCACTAAATAGTCAATCTCGTGTTGTCTGCAAGGAGGCCGTATGCTTGATACGACGAAGGTCTTGTTTCATGAGAGTACGAAAGATGTGAATTGGAATGGCTTTCTTCTACAGGACGCAGTTTTCGTTCGAACAACGCAAGGACCGTGTTTAAGAGAAAAAACACCATTGCTTCTTAAGAACCAGGAGGTTCCACATGTTCACTTCCAGACACGATCGTCTTGTTTAACGAGAAAGAGAGAGAGAGAGAGAGAGAGAGAGAGAGAGAGAGAGAGAGAGAGTGGGGGGGGAAAAAGAGAGAGACCTTCCGGGAAAGAACGGGCAGCAAGTCGCTCCGGTTTTCAGCCGTGTCACACCGACTCCGTAAATGTACTGTACGTCCGGCGCGCTCGCACGCAGAAGAAGAAGAAGAAGCAGAAGAAGGAGAACCCTTCGGGGCAGCCTGTAAAAGGGGGTCGGGGAAGTAGGCAATCCGGGAACAGCAGTTCCTGGAGGTCAGTGTCACGAGGACTGAGACCGTGGGCGCGCCTTGCGGGCAAGGGGGGCAACCCGGGTTCTCTCAAGCCTCGCAGAAGAAGAAGAGAACCAAAAGCAAAGCCCGAAGCTTGCTGCAATCAGCAAGTGAACGTAGCACCGCGTGCAAGCTACGGAGAGCCCACGAGCCGGGAGTGCCCTCAAAGGGTCGGATCTCAACCATTAGGGGGATGAGCCACCTCAAACCGCTGCAATCTGCATGCGTTTTCACAAGCTAAAGAGAGAGAGAGAGAGAGAGAGAGAGAGAGAGAGAGAGAGAGCTAATTTTCCACAATGAGACCCAATTAGCGCTTATGGGCTAAAAGTCCCCATAGGGCACCCTGCGGTAAATTCGAATAAAGACATAAACAAATCAAAAAACCAGAGATCAACAAATACACACTCTGTTCGCTCACTGGTTTCTCTCTGTCCTCTCCATCCATCTCGCTGTTGTCCAGCTTTTTCTGGAGGCCTCGCGTCGTCGCTGCTGGTGCTGGCAGCGCTACTCTTCGCGGTGACGGAGCCGAGGGGTTTCCTTATGTCAAGAAAGGAAACGTGCACCAAACATCTCCGAACAAAAGGCCCTGAAACATGTTGGGTCTTTTTATCCAAGCAAGAAAAAGAGTAGGTGACTAGCAGATTGGGCTTCGGAGGAGGACGAGGCCACGTTTTGGGCATCCCGTTTCAGCCGGCAAACTTGACTAGGAAGAATTAGCCCACACAGTTAGGGAAGTCGGAAGCACCTCCTTGAGTCAACTTCACTGCAGTGTTGGCAGTCTTGGCTCTGCCCGTAAGAGGACCTTCTGCATCAAGTCGCCTTGGGCCACTTGCTGAGGGCCTTGCCGCAGCCTTTGCTTTTGCTAGCTTCTCGCGATCCTGTCTTGCTAAGGGCTTAGAGGGGCGAATCTAAGAAATCTGAACTAGATTCTCCTTGAGTATAGAAGGGTTAATGTACAGGTGCTTGGATTGCTAGTTGTTCCTCTCTGGTTGAATTGCTGTTGTGAATTTTCGAGGCACTTTCTGGCCGAATGCGTCGTGCCTGGACCGCACAGTGGAGACACGGGAGAGAACGTTTTTTTCGGATGCAGGTTTCCTACCACATTCTGTGTATCTCAAATGCCGCCTTCAGAATACGAACAAAGCTTTTCTTTGATTCGTCACTGCCTGGAGAGGAAGCGAGAGAGAGAGAGAGAGAGGGAGAGAGAGGGAGAGACGGAGAGATAGTCGTACACATGACGGGGCTAGTCGCGATTAGCCAGCCACCACAGGGTAGGCGAAGTTCCTTTTGGGCCTGGTTTGTATTTGGGGCGAGGGAGTTCCACATCATTGAGAGCCTGGTTTGTATTTGGGGCAAGGGAGTTCCACATCATTGAGAGCCTGGTTTGTATTTGGGGCGAGGGAGTTCCACATCATTGAGAGCCTGGTTTGTATTTGGGGCGAGGGAGTTCCACATCATTGAGAGCCTGGTTTGTAATTTGGGGCGAGGGAGTTCCACATCATTGAGAGCCTGGTTTGTATTTGGGGCATATGGAGGGGGAACCCGGTACATGGGGGCGTACTACTTCGGGGAGATCGGGAATAAGGTATTAACTTGAAACCGGGGGAACCCAATGAACGATGCGCGCCCTTCGGGGCGGCCTCCTCTCTCGGGGGGGGGCCATGCGTGCAGAGAGACAGAGAGACAGAGAGAGAGAGAGAGACAGAGAGAGAGCGAGAGGGGGGCTGACAAGCAGGACAGAGCCAAGGACTCTCGCGCCCTTCGGGGCAGCCCTCTTTTCGGGGGGCTTCGTGGCTGGAGAGAGAGAGAGAGAGGGCAGTTTGGCTCAAGTCGGGAACCGGCTTGAGCCACTCATCGCAAAGTTTCGGGTGCAGGAGGTCGAGGCTGCCCCGTGTTCGTAAGACCTCACTGGGCAGGGCCCCGGCAACTACGAGCACAAGGTGGACGAGTATTAAGGGTATTTAACGCTATCATCACATTAACCAAGCGAAATACTGAACAAAGTAGACAGGCCCTTGTTCGCTTAGTTTTCATCTTCTTATTATTATGACTAGCCCTGAAAATATTTTTTGATACGGTAGGACTTTTGAGGGCCATTGAATCACTCACTCGCGGAACTAAGAAAAAGACAATGTTCCTTTAACTTGAATCATGTACAAGCGAATGAAACCAGAAAACCAAAGGAATTCCTAAATTTCATTCGCAACCTTCATTAGCGATCTTTCCTCACGCACCAGTACTACTAACACGGTCTGGAAGGTAGAAAAACCCCACATCTGATGCACTAGAAGCAAGTTGGAACAGGACCATCTCTGAGTTAATACTAGTTACAATGATTAGCAGGTAGGGAAGGCAGGAAGGAAGGTAGGAGCGAAGGAAGGAAGGACGGGCAGGCATCTGTCGGGGGCGATCGCAAAAGCCTACAGCTGTGCCCATTCATTTCATGTTTGTTAATGTGCGGAAACAGCATCCACTGGCTCGCTCTCGGCTCCTCATAGGGCTTATAGGGCTTAGGGAGTCTTTTAAGAAACTTCTAGATTGGGATCGTACAAGAGTCAGTGATGCTCCGGCGCCGGTATCTCGGATTTGCATCTCTAGCCCAGAGACCCCTTAACAGTTCAGGCCAAAGCCTTACCTGGTGATGAAGAGAAATAAACTGATGGCTTTTCAGTTTTCATGTAACAAGACGGAAAGAAACAGGTCGCATGTTCAAACGTCGAAGAGCCCGTCGTAGCGCTGTATACAGGACATTCGCGGAATTTGAGGTTTGACAGCGCATGGAAGGATTTAAAACCTTGATTTTCGCGAGTCAACATCCTGACACAAAAAAAACATTCCCCACAAACAAACCACTGTCCAAGCTTTTCCGTTCTGCTCCCGAGCTGGCGCATTGCCAAAGGAAAGTGCCTTCGGGCCTGACTTTCTAGCTCGGAGGAAAGAAAGAGGCCAACTAAGGACAGAGAGAGCGAGAGAGAAAGATAGAGAGAGAGAGAGAGAGAATAGTACAGTAGTGCCCTGGAGAACCACTACAGCCAAGCAAGTCCGGAAGAACCCTAGTCCAAGTGGGGCCAGTAGTGTTGACAACCCGAGGGGTAGCAGTAGGGGATCCGGGGAGGCTTTCGGAAGGTTGACTGGACAGGCTTTCTCATCTAGGTGTCGCCAGGTAATGGATGGTCTTAGGGTCGTAGCGTGTTTTCCGGGCATGCAGGTGTGGGCGAACGAAAGGCTCGAACAGCAACACAGGGAAAGTGCCACGAGACAGCTGTGTCACAGCCAGGAGCAGAGCCGGAGGGCAAAGGCCCCACTAAAGAGGGGAAGTGATTGAAAAGGGGTTGAGGTGAAAAGGGGAAACTTGCACGGCAAGAGCAAGCCTCCAGGGGAAGTCGCACGGAAGGACAGCACTTCGGGCGCGCTCGCACGCAGGGCACCTTCGGGGTTCCCTAAGGTTTCAGCAGAAGAAGAAGAGGAGAGGAAACAAAAACAAAAGGAGAGAAGAGTCGTCAGAGAGTCTGAGGTGCTGGGAGGGGCAGGCGCCATGAGACTTTGCAGCACCGCTGCGTCTCTGTGTCGTTTGAGCACGACGCATGCATTGACAGCATGGCAGCGCATGAAATTAGAATCTCAGAAGTCTGTGGAGGTGTGGCTGGGGTGCTGGCGGAGATCCGGCCGCACCCAGCAGCGCACCCAGCTGAAACAAAAACTACATTACACCCTGCATTGTCCTGCTGTCTTTCTAGCGTTTTCTATTTTTTGTTTTTGTTCCGCCTATCTCTTTCGCGCTCTCTCACTCATGCTTTCTCTTCTCATGCTGTTATCATTGTTATCATTGTTATCCTTTTCGAAGTGCCCCGTGCCCGTGCACTTTCCGCTTTGCTGAACTGTCGCATTCGCTGCGCGTCTTCTTTGAGGCCGTGAGCGAGAACTTCCCGTGCCCCCTTCACATGAGAGCGCAGCGCAACGCTCAGAGAGGATCAGAGAGGGAGAGAGAGAGAGAGCAAGACCGTGGACAGCACGCGCCCCTGGGGGCGGCCTCCCTTCGGGGGGGTCATGCGTGGGGGAGAGAGAGAGAGAGAGAGAGAGAGAGAGAGAGAGGGGGGGGCCACAGACCCACTTGGCCGTCGCGGCCGGGTTCCTCCTTCGGGGGGGGCTCCTAAGTGCAGGGAAGGGAAGGAAGGGGGGCCATGGCGGCCGCCGGCAGCAAGTCCGCTCGCAGACGTGCATTGCATCCGTCAACATCCAGCAAGTTCTTCGCTGAAGTCCACGTGGTGCCTTGAGACTTGAGAGCACGCAAGGAGAACATCACGGGATATCGAGGCATTGAGAACGACAGGGAGTTTTGGACATTTTGGCACCAGACAGGGGAGAGAAGTCGCGATAGTTGACACGCTTCACACCCAATTGCACAGCCTTATTGTCATCTTACCTCATATAGGTTGCGGGTCAACAGTCCAAGGTATGGACAGGCCCGGGGCGTCCTTTTGCGCGTAGGGTTTGTAACTAACTAGCTCGGCGTGACAAGCCTCCGCGATAAGCCCGTTTTTGCAACCATCTTGCGACACTGGCAACCCACGACAAGCCCGCGAGAGGCGCGACAAACAAACGTACGTAACAGAGGCGGGGGGCGGGACACCGCGACATATTTACTCCCATTAGAATCATTAGACCCCTCACCTCTGGGTCTACCTCAGATGTCGCTTGCACTTCCGTGGCCCAAGACGCTCGCTGTGAGAGCACTCAGAGAAGATCTGTTCATCGCGTCTGACCAAGTTCTGTGTGCAACCGTTGTACTCGGTTTGCAAGAACATGTCTGCGCTCATCAGCTCATCTTGTGCTCCGTGATATGCAGTTTGCGCAGAATTGGGCATACTTGTGACCGAGCCAGGCATCACACGAACTGGCTTATGTTGGGTGCATGTTGGAGATGCGTGCTGAATGAAGTATCGGGCTTGGTGACCAAAAATCGGTGACATGAGACAGGTCCGTTGGGAAGTGATGAAGCGAAATAAAGGCCTGGAGGGGGTACAGACAATTTGGTGAAGGTACCTGACGCGCCTCAGCGGCCGAGCAGCGCTTTACTGCCTTTTGGGCTTGCCCGGACCTCGTTGAAGTCAGTGCTTCGTGACGTAAAGTGACGTGAAGGATACTGGAAGTTTGGCTGCCTGATTGTAGCCAAGAGGTACGTCGTGGGAAGGGACACCGTTGGCTGGAGGCAAGGACAGCACGTGCCTGACGCACCTTGATGCCTCGATTGGCCTCAATGACGAGTGTCAAGCGTCAAAGAGTCTGCAGGCGTGTTGTGGATATGACGGTCGTGCCCTCGAGACTTCAGTTTCCCTGAGAAGCTCTCTCACTCTCCGGACTTCTCATCTCCGAGGTGGGTTCCCTTTGCTTGGCAGTGGCAGCGGCTGGCCTTGCCCTGCGTCAAAGATGATGACATCTACGATTCTACGTATCGCCAAACCTTCCCCCCACTGCTTCTATTCTTCCACAGCTTGGTACAACCGAGTATGTCAGTGATGTGTTTGAGTTTTGCTGAGCTTGAGGTCTTCGCGCAGAGGCTCCGTGGCCTGCCGCCCGGCCTCGACCAGCGCCTGAATGCCGGCGGCCATGGGAGCGGCCACCAGGGTGCTCAGGGAGCTGAGCCCACGGAGCTGGAGAGCCCGGATTCAGACGAAATGGCCGTGAATATGAATATATCGTTTGAAGGAAGTTAAGTTAGAAGAGGAAGACGAAGGGCAAATGGTTGGAAAGGAAAGAATCGCGAGTCCTCTCAGGCGCGAGCTACAGCCGACACCGACCAGCTGAGGGGAGAATGCCTCTCCTCACCGACACGCCGAGACTCGATAGTGAGTTGGATAGAGAGCGTCGTATTCAAGCATTCGCAGTTCTCTCCGCGGAACTCTCCATTATGTCTTTCTGAAGCGATCAATCTAAGGCAATGTTTCCGATGAGCGTTTCACACAGCCCAAAAGTGGCAAAGTAAACGAGCGTGCAGGAAAACCAAAAATCAAACAACGCCAGAAAGCTTGCTGAACCATACACAAAAAAAGTTACGCCTTGATTGCCATACGCATACATACATGCACTTACACACATCTATATTTGCCATACAGCCCTCTACATCCTCGTGGCGGGCGGCGTCGTATCTGTACAGTCCTTCTCTGCCGTTGGTCGAGCCGTAGCGCAGGCTGCACTGGATTGATTTTTTTGTTCGAGTTCAGTTGAACCAGAGGCGCATCACAACCGACCGTGTTTTGCAATGCCTACTGTATGCTTTAAAGTCATTTGACTCCACAGATGTTGCACATGGTTAGAGGGAGTTTAGAGGGGCTTTCCTCGCTGCTCCCAATCCGAGCACCCCTGGACAAGCAGCTAATCCATGTCGCGCTCAAGCAGTCAGATTCAGGTGCTGGTCAGTGCTATCATCTAGAGTTGCATGTTGTTTGATTCAGATCTTAGCCGCCAAGCCGTTGTAAGCGTAGCTTTACAGAGAGCACTGCAGTCGTCGTCCTTCAGTAGAGGCTCCACCGCAATGAGCCACAAGAATTGTGAGTGACTGCGTGGCATTCACCGTAGCAGAACTTCCCCCCAGCATGTAGCCTCAAGTGCTTGAGCCCCCATGCTGTCAGCACATGCGAGCCATGCCTTCCGCCCAGAGCTAAGTGGTGCTCAGTGCAAGAACGCTGGCTTTTGCGATCTTTGTGTTGTCTGTCACGATTGGATTTGCCTGTCCGAAGGTGCTGCTCTGGGCTGTTGCCTCGCAAGTGCTTTTGCCTTGGTGCCCAATCTGCAGCGGCTCTTCACACAGGAGGCCAAACTGTTTGCAAACTGAGCGGAGATGTGCAGGGTTTTGCGGAGATTTACCCTCAGCTTGTAAGGTGCAACCACTTCTCCCAACGGCGGCGATCATGTCCTTGTTCTGCGCAGGGAACTCTCTCGAGGCCATGCCGTTTCATTGAGTACTGAATAGTTCTAATACGTATTACTTATGTGTGCTGAATCTCATCTGGCAAGGAGACCGGCATCCTGTGCCTGGAGTCCGTCCTGGGAACGAGCCTGCCTCAGATCGACGGAAACAACAGAAACGACGTAAGTAGGGAACAGTGCAAAGGTACCACCGCCGTTCCTTGCTTTGGCACCCTTGTTGGAGGTTGATTGCACTGGCCAACGTGACTGTCAGTCGTAGCCTCGCTCAGGAGAGCATACGGAGCGTAGCAATGCATAGTATGCGTCGCTCGCAATAGTTTCGCCACGCTCTGCCTTCAAATTAAATGCACACCTGCTGCCCTCTATTGCTGCTCAGCTACTCCATCCAGGAGTCCCAGACACAGACGCTGTTTATCTGTGTGGGCTCCGTTGCGCTGGTGATGGTCGCCTGTCTGCTGCCTGTATCCGAGAATGCCAAGATGTGCTCATCAGCAGAAAGCATGCAGAGACATATTCTGTGATGCTCCGTGCATTTGTTCCGAACCCTCCCGCTTTCTCCTCCTGGCAGGTACACAGTCGGCCTCACGGCGTACTTTACGATGGTGACTTGCCTCAGAGCTCAATGAAGTTTCTGGTTCGGAGTGTTGCAGAGTGTTGCAAGGACTCCTGTCAATCCGGGAACAGCACCGGCCCGCTCCCCTTGGAGTATCTTATGGTCTCCCTGCTCGGGTCCAGAGCTTGCGAGTTGCATGACTTGCATATACTTGCATATACTTGCATGACTTGCATTGTGACATGTTACTTCATGTTACTTCATGTTACTGCTGTGCTCCTCCAGCCTCACACCCTGGACACCCATCACCTGCGTGGACTAAGGTCGGTGTGCACGCTCTCAGCATACCTCATGCCTCTTCCGGGACTGCGGCTCAGGGAAACACAACGCAGATCAGAAGAGTCTGCCGAATTGGGATCCTCACCGTAGGCGTCCAGGATCCGCGTGCGCGAAAGGGCGCAGGAGCCAGCCTTGTCTTCGGTGTTTTTGGCTGCATGTGGTGCTTGAAGTACATAGTTACCTCTGCAGCCCTGCATGGTCATAAAGACTTTGGCCCGCGAGTGGGTCTTGCTAGTCTGGCCAGCCGATTGCACTACTGACGGTCGTAAGGCAGACTTCCTGCAAACCTGATGGAAGCCACGAACGAAGCCACGAACCGGTACTTACTATGTAAAGCACGAAGCATCCATGGGGTATCCATGCACAAAGCAGGCACTCTTGGCCTCTTTGGTGAAAACGTACGATTTGGCTGTGGCCGGCCAGCCAGGCACGCGAGCACGAAGCGATGATCCAAGCACGAATTGCATATTATTGCCACATTCCTTGCAAAAGCGTTGGCAAGTGGCGCGCGGGCGCGCGAGTGACGTTGACACCTGCGCTTTGGGGCATCGCCTTTGCTCTATAGCTCACCCGTTGTCATGCCCAGCCTGCTCTGCCATGATGCATCATGTGAGGGGCGCAGTTGCCTTTAAATGCAGAAAAGTTTGGCAACTTGGCAAGCTCTACATATCAATGTGACTTTGTGGTTGTTGCAATTTGCAAATTCTTTTGCAAGCACGCAGAGGAGCAGCCTTCTCGGACATCGCCGAGGGCTGTGCCGAGGTGGGAAGATTGGAGTTGCTGGAAACGGGGCCTGCGCCAAGCAAGCACAACCAGTGACCAGTGTCCTGTGGTGCCAGAGTGCAAGCGTCTGGAAACGACAGCTGCTTGAGGGAAACAGCTCTCGTCTTTTTTCGGTGTAATTTTCAAGCAGTCCTAAGTCCTAAACCATGCGATGCGACGTGTGGTCCAATTGCATTGCGCACATGGGACTTGCACCTGTCCAACCAGAAGTATCCATCGGAGAGTTTGAAATTGAGGGTGCATTGCATGGATGTGGAGAATCAGAAGCTATAACCCAGAAAGCCTCACAGCTCATAACATCAATCAGATCAAGCATATGAAGCAGACAAGGCCGAACTGAAAGGACTTGACAACCTCGGATGCATGGATTACATCAAGGTATCCGAGCCGCCAGCCGGCGCCGAACCCTCCGAAGGATGGAATTGTCAGAGACTCCGAGACAGAGCGTAAGAAAATGCAACGATGCGCAAAGTTTTTTCAGCTGTACTTGCAGCACTTCTTGCTGCCACAGCCATGCCGGCACATAATGTTCAATGCTGATTCGTCTGATCCACCGGAATTGTTGTAGATTTTGCCGAAATTGCTGAGCGGGGTTTTTGCGGGTCATCAGAGACTATGAATGCATCAGTTCTTCAAACTAAGCTTCTGAGATCTTCTGGGCTGAGCCTGAACAAAGCCGAAGAACCTGAGCCCATCCCTCCTGAGATGCCTGAGCAGAGTCGGAGCAAAGCTAACCTGCCTTCTGAATGTCTTCTGAAGTCCTTGTGAAGTTCTTTTGAGAGACTCCTGAGATTCTTCTGAGATACTTCTGAGCTCATGGGTCAGCGGCCAGGCCCCCGCACCCCCCCACGTCCACGCGCCCATTTAAATTTGTTGAGGGAGAGGGAGGGGGGTGGGCGGGTGTGGGCGGGCCAATTCTAGTCAGCATGCAACATTGCATTGTCTAGGCTTATCCATTGTTCATGAGCATGTACAAGAGGCGCACGAATGCACGCGCACAGACACACACACACACACACACACACACACACACACCCACGCACGCACGCACGCACGCACGCACGCACGCACACACACACACACACACGGACATATACATATATATATATATATGTCTGCAGTGCGACGTTTCTGTATATATATATATCTATATGTATATAGCTCGCCCCCCTCCCAAGATCTACGTTTACAGGTTTCCAGAACCCAAAAAGGTCAAAAACGCCAAAATCAGGATGCCAAAAGCCCAAACCAAAAAAAAACATTAGTCTGAGACTCTTGGACAGGTGAAACCAAAACAACGCAAACCAAAAAAAAAAAATATAAAAACATTATTTTCGAATTCTTGACGTCAGGGGGTAATTTAATGATTCCCTTGTCCAAGAGTCTCGGAATAATGTTTTTTTTTGGTTTTTGTTTTTTTGGCTTTGGTTTTTTTGGTTTGGGGTTTTTGGTTGTTTGTTTTTTTGGATTTGGATTTCCAAGAGTCTCAGAAAAATTTTTATTTTGGTTCTTTTGGTTTGTTGGTTGTTTTGGTTTATCGCTGCGTCTTCCTCCCGCGGCCCCAGAAAAGCACAGCGGGTCTGCGCACAGGACCAGACTGGCTGGACGCTGCGTTTGGGAGGACCCAACGTAGAGGAGAGGGGAAGTTGACGGGCATCGCCGCGTCTTCGTCCCGCGGCTCCGACGTGGCAGCAGTGTGAAGGTGCTGAGATTGGCAAGGAGAGTTCCCGCTCGCGAGTCTGCTTGCGAGTCGGTCTCAGGTGTACGGGGCCACGGGGCTCAATTCTCTGCTGACTGGCAGCCGCTGCAGCGGTCCGTAGCAGCAACCCTTTGGTAGCTTCATGATCCTGTCACTGGGCTCGTCTCCTGTATGGGGGACCGCCCTCAGAAGCAGGCGTGGTCTTTCAGGTGAGCCTGGGACAGCCCACTGCGACTGACTGTATATGTCTTGCAATAATGGAACCTATGTTTGAGTTCTGTCTGTCTGTTTTGGTTTTGTTGTTTTTGGTTTGTGGTTTTTGCTTTGTCTAGAGACATGGTGCGTGCCCAAAACCTAGGGAAATACTGTGTTTTTTCAGACGCATAGTGCCTGTACTAGGCAAATATAGAACTAATACTATACGAAAGAGGCAAGTGAACTATCCTAGTTTTTGTTCACTCATAGAATATCTATTGCAAAATGTAGCGATTGTGCTCGGCAACCTAGACAAATACTGCAATTTTAGAGACAGGACGCTTTGTTTAAAAGAAATTCGTTCTGTTTCTAGAGAAGCAGTGCTTGTCCCAAACCCAGGGAAATTCTCTTCAAAAACACATAGCACGGCAATAATATTGAATTCCTACCCTATGAAAGAGGCTGGCTAGTGAAGTATCCTAGCCTTATGTCTAAAATCTAAGTCTAAAACACACAATTCGCATAGAGAAGCTTACAAGTACACAGTTCTCCTATGAACGTAGAACTCTTAAACAGCATAGACAAGCTTACAAATGCATAATTCTCGTAGAGTCTTAAAGCAACACGACTTTAGCACAACGATTATGTACACTAGATTTGACTATAAAACAAGCAGTTTTCAGCACATAATGATGAAACACTGCTTGCGCACGAATTAAATACCACTTGTACAGATTATACTCTGTCTCAAACGCACAAGTCGCATAGACAAGCTCAAGAATGCATATTCTTTCTTAGAAACCTATTTGCCTCGTGAACTTCGGAAATTCCAAATCCTAAAGCCTTGGGATAATCTCTGGCGAAGTTTGGACTTTTGGGTTTTCAGGTGTTTCGATACAAATAATGCAATTAGCAACGCTTTTTCCAATCAAACTGTCGATTAAATAGGCAAATTAAAAACTATTGAAACACCTGGTACATGTTTAAAAGCACACCAATGTAATATTCATTGCATAGAAATTTAATACGAAGCACATACCCACGGAACCAATGATTACTATAAAAGTAGGCATGATAATATAGTCATGGTTAGTGGTAGGAAATAATTGTTGTATGAGAGAAAGAGACCCTTTCCCGGGAATCCTGAAAGAAGCCGCCTCAGACCCAGTGTTGACACGTGCAGCTCAGCACGTATTTGTTTACTAAGACAACAGTAAAACACAAAAACGCGAGTTTTTTGAGGTGTTAACAGCAAAGCTGCTATACCTTCCAGGGTTTTTTGGCTTTCGGAGTATAGAAGGTCACATAATTTTGAACCGAAATTCGGTTGCAGATTTATAGACATTTTGCATGCATGATGTGTTACGTACAATAGTCCCGGAAATACTCGACAAGTAAGGTTTTATCGGTATTTACAGTGTTTTCGGCGTGCACTACTTGTACACAAGTGCGTGGAAGCAAGCAGAAGAGTAGTGTAGACAAGGAGGGTGTAGATCTTGGGGGGTGGGTGACCATGTATATATATATATGTACAGTATACATTTTGTATGTCGAGAATGTTGTTGAGCCGGAGAGCTGTCAGGTCATCACCGAAGCCAAGTCCGCCTTCCTTGGGACAGGCGGGCGGGAGAAAAAAAAGTAGAAAAAGGCGTGGAAGGTCTGTGCCACATTCTGCCACAGCGTTTCGTAAGACGTGAAAGCGTCCGTCGTCGTGAGGAAAGAAATGTGTACGGCAATGTATGGGGGCCGAGGTGCTGGTGAAGCCTGGAGAGCTGTGGCACAGCAACGCCTGAGCAAGCTTTCGGAGAGGCGGCCTTCGATGAGTAATAAACTGATGAAAGCGTGTGTGCTTTTTCTAAATATATATTCGATACATTCGGATGCGACCCCGCCCCCTCAAAGATCTTCGTATTTTCATGATTTTCATGGTTTGGCGACGCGAAGCTGGAGACTTGCGCAGACATGCTTCCAAAACGACGGCGGGCTCGAGTTCACCCCCGACATCAGCAGAGCCGTCACTCACAAGCCTCATATATCCCTGAATTGGAGGATAGGGAAATCATGACGAACAGCATCGAGGACAACTCATGAGCTTCTGCGATCGAAACGAAAACCCCTCACAACGCAACGGCTGAGTTCCCTCTTATACCCCAGTAGGATTGAAAGGTCATTTTACCTTGTGATATTTTTTCGGATAATTCGCCCTTGTCTATGCTTTAGACATGAAGGTATTCTGCGATTTGCGTAAGCAACCATGTAACAAGAGAAGTCATGTGAGTAATTTAATCGAGCTCCTCCAATTAAGTTAATGAAGCTGCTCAAAAAACACTTCGAGGCAAGTCGTATTGCAAGAGTCGAGCGAAGAGTCTAATTCCATAAGCTCTGCTCATGAATATTCATTGGCACATGTCATTGTAGATCTGTTAACTAATAGTTCTTGATGATAATAATCAAGGTTGGATGAAATTTCGAATCATCATTGGACTGAAGAATTTAAGCATCCTCCAAGTATGTTAATTATACTCGGACTTTTGCATGCTACTTTGGGAGGAACCATTAGAACCAAGCGCCTTTGTTTAAATTCGCCTTCCGTCATACACTTAGTATTTTTTCCGCCACTAAATACAGGATTTTGGCCTCTCAGTATAGCATTTTCGTTGCAATAGTTTGCGAATCACCTTCAGTCTGTATATTCAACAATTCAACACTTACAGAAGGTATATGTCAGCTAGGCCACCCTCAGAAGGAGTTGGGTTGTGCCAACTGGTTGTGCCATTAGAACAATTTAGTCAACAATCTTCAAAATCTCGAAAAACAACTGTAATTTAAACTATTTTTATTTATGGGTTATGTTTATTTATGTGTTTATTGTAGATAATAGATTATGTTGTATGTCTGTTGCTTAACACTATAACATTATTATAACATCATTGTAACATCATCATAACATTATTATAGCATTATTATAACATTATTATAACATTATTATAACATTTAGTTTGCCAGAAAAATTGACGACGATGATGACATTGAAAATTATTTGTAGCGATTCAGCTAAACTGAATCTAGATAAGAGTCTTGAAAGACAAGTCATGACAACGCACCACACTAGCCAAGATCAACTACTCCTCAGCCTCTGCTGCTGGAACTGTTGCAACCTCATTCGTCCTTGCACTTCCCCAGTATTCACGCCATGATGTGGATGCCAGCTGTCACGCCGTCTTAAGAAAGTTACTCATACATCTTCAATCCCCGATCTGGGCGATTGAACACTCCATCGGCTCAATAGGATCCCGGACTGAAGATTGTCTTGGGAGAGTTTCAGTGTCAGAGCATCTTCGATCCAAGGCCCGGCCCGAGTGAGCAGTCATTCTGCTCAATCGGCCCCTGAATCGAAAATTAAGAAAGTGAACATGTTTGCAATTCTCCCAGGCATCTTTCAATCTTCCACCTTCGATCCAGAAGCCAATTGATCGGATTGAGTGCTCTATCGGTTTTGTCCGCAAAGCAAAAACGAGAAACCACTTGCTCTTCATAAGCTGACTCGCATCCTGGACACCTTCCCCCCCCCTCTCATATACTCGCATGGAAATTCATCAAAAGTCCAGAAATGCGTCCCCGCCGTTTCCAAAAAACACGCAGATGTTTGGGGCGGGGCGGAATCCCACGCATATGTATACATATATGTGTGTGTGTGTGTGTGTGTGTTTGTGTTTGACTGAAGCGCGCGGATGTGCAGTCAACTTTGCACAACGGCGGAGTGGCCTTCACCGAGTTGAGGCTCAGGGAGGCGCGATACACGGCCTCGTACCGCAACCCGCTGGTACTTCTCGACCCGGCCGGCCGCTTCGCCATGGCCAGGAGATTTCGCGAAGTGTTGGGTTCAATGAAGTTCAATGTTCTTCCTGTAGTGAACACTGTAGTGTGTTCCCAGGTGTGTTCTGAAAGCCTTCTGCCAGGAAAAGGCAAGAGGCGGCCTTGTCTGCGGCAGCTGAGACGCTAGGCCAGATCAAACAGGGCAAGGACATAAGGAGCGCGTTCCCATTTGTCCACCTCCTCAAATCCCTAATTTTTCTGCCTTGAACATCCTTGAACCGCGCTTGGTCGTTGATGCAGACCTGCATGATCACATTGTACATCATTGAACACTGCCCCTTCGATTGGACCCCAGATATTTGCTGCCTGCTGTGCGAGCTGGCGGCCCGGTCGGGTGGCCTGAGACTTTTGACTTTTGCATAAAACTTGCTACTTGTGACTTTTCGAAAAATTTCGTGCACAAAGTTGCGAAAAAGCTGAAGCAACTCCCCCCGTCCTGCACGTCCTGCAAGGCCTCAGCTCGCCTACTCGGGGGATTCGGGCGGCTCTGCTGAAGCGGACCTGGCCGAGGGCCCACAATCGGAAAGGAATTGGAAGAAGAGAGAAAATTTGAAAACTCTCAGAAGACTCTGAGAAGACATGGGAAAGAGAACAGAAGAAGTCAGAAGGGAGCAATCGCCAGAGGTCCGGAGTGCGGCTGAGCCTGCCATCACTCGAGTGGTCGACGGGGCGGCAGCCCCTCGGCCTTCAAAAGAGCTTGGTGACCAGTCGGGCTTGCAACACGGGAAGTATACATTTTAAGATACTTTACAAGATATTTGGAGACGCTTCTGGAGTGTTCAGCCTGTTCAGCACCAACGCCCAGCCGCAAGTTCCCATGACAGCTAATGAAAAACTTGGTCATGCGCCTCCTCTGCCACGTTGTATAAGGACTTGCTACAGAACCTGGGCCGCAGCTTCCAGGCAGTGGGATCCCTGCATGCCCGGAAAAAATACTGGGAATGCCATAAAAATTGTCCTGCATTTCGCCGTATCACACAATCTTATGCGCGCCTTTTGCCGATGTCAATCACCTTCAGGAAGGCAACGATGCCAGCGAGAGGACCGCTGAATTCCCAGCACACCCCACTCTCTGTAAGATAGTTCTCTGTCACATCTCCGTCACATGAGCACATTGCAGGAAGCGCATCCGCCAGGCAAAGTCGGTTGTGAGCTGTGCGTCTCGCTGGGTGACTGGCGAAAAGGAGTGTGATGCTGTGTAGGGAAGGAGGCCCGGGGAGGGGAGAAAGGCTTTGGGAGAAGGAGGCCCGGGGCGGGAGAAGCTCGCAGGATGTTCGTGTTGCCTTTGTCTCTCTTCTTTCTTACTCTGGGTCCTCCTTCGAGTTGGAGGCCGCCCAGGCGGCACTCAGGGACAGCCACGGCCCTCAGAAGCAGCCATGCAGGGAGGCACGCAAATGTAGAGAGACTGAAAGTGAGAAGACACGCGAACAATCATTAAACAAAGATGAGCACTTCGAACCCTCGTGCGGGAGTCGCCGAGGCAGTGCAGCAGCCAGGGAATTGCTGCTGCTGAAGCAGGCAGGGCATCGTGTATTCCACTGGCCCCTTCTCCCTACAGTACGACTTGGCAGAGCGTTGCAGCTCTTGTTGCAATATGTTGCAAGCAATGCCATATTTGTAGAGTGTACAGAGGGCGAGCTTGAAGAGTCCATAAGAGTTTTGCAGCCGGAATGTGTCAGCAGAGTTTGTTTGTGTGTGTGTGTGTGTTTATTTCGGCCGTACGGTCCGTACGGTGGGTAGGTCTGTGCCTTCTTCTAGTGAGACATGGTGTCTGATTTTGTGCTTTCTGTTTTCCCCCTTGAAGTTTATTGGGGTAGGGTATTTTTTTTGTGTTTTTTTATGTTTTTTTTTGTGTTTTTTTCTGTTTTTTAAGCAAGAAAGAAAGAAAGACAGAAAGAGAGAAAGAAAGAAAGAAAGAAAGAAAGAAAGAAAGAAAGAAAGAAAGGAAAGCAAGACAGAAAGAAAGAAAGAAAGGAAGAAAGAAAGGAAAGAAAGAAAGAAAGGAAAGCAAGACAGAAAGAAAGAAAGAACTAAAGAAAGAAAGGCCGAAAGAAAGGAAAGCAAGACAGAAATAAAGAAAGAAAGAGAGAAAGAAAGAAAGAAATAAAGAAAGAGAGAAATAAAGAAAGAAGGAAAGCAAGACAGAAAGAAAGAAAGACAGAGAGAAATAAAGAAAGAACGAAAGCAAGACAGAAAGAAAGAAAGAAAGAGAGAAAGAAAGAAAGAAAGAAAGAGAGAAAGAAAGAAAGAAAGAAAGAAAATAAAGAAAGAGAGAAAGAAAGAAAGAAAGAAAGAAATAACCCCCCCCCCCGCTTTGTTTAAGCCGTGCAAGCTTGCCTCAAAGCATATGCCATATGCACACTTTTGCGGAAACCCATCATGCGAGAATCGTCACATTTTCGGAAACCCATCATGCGAGAATTGTGTTTGCAAATGGGGGGGGGCTGCGCCCCCCCCAACCCCCCCGCTTTCTCAAGCCGTGCAAGCTTGCCTCAAAGCATATGCCATATGCACACATTTTCGGAAACCCATCATGCGAGAATCGTGTTTGCAAATGGGGGGGGCTGCGCCCCCCCCAACCCCCCGCTTCCCGCAACACACCCTACACCCTAAACCCTAAGCCGTAGTTCCGGACTGAAGGGGCAATGATACGAGGAGCAACCTTGACCCCGCAAACCGTAGAGCCTAATAAGACCCAAACCGTCCACCATAAGCCGCAAATCCTGATAGAATGTTTGCGGCCTACATGCGCAGTAAGCCCTAAACCGAAGCAAAGTTTCAGATTGAAGCATCCGAGGTTCCTCTTGAACCAGCCCCGGACGTTAACTAGCTTTTGAGTCCTGTCGGGGCCAACGATGGCCGCCCCGACGCTCCAAGCGCGAGTTGCAAAAGGACGAAGGGTTGGACGTAGTGTGTTGTTGTAGCACGTTGAGATTTGGACCTGTTCCGGACACGCGGTGCCGCTGAGAGGCCATCGGAAGCTGAAAACCAGCAAAATTCACCAAAAAAACCAAAAAAATGCACAGAAAAGAATTCCCACCAGAGGAGGACGACAGGCAGAACCAGGAGGGCATGTTCTGAAAACCACAGGAAAAGCAAGAAAAAGCAAGAAAATTCACAGAAAAAAACCAGAAAAATTGACAAAAAAAATCCTCGCTCCAGTTTATTGCAGTTGGTGGGTCTGACCATCCTTTTCTTGAGTCCGTGCTCGTTGTTCTTTTGAGACGGGTTCCCCTTTTGTAGTTGTTGATCCCCTTTTCGCTGACTGTGTTGTGGTTTTGTTTGTCCTTTTTGCCAGTGAGTGCGTTATTTTGCTTTCATTTGTCGTGATTTGAGTTTTGTGTTACGTCTAATTAGTTTGGTTGGATTGCGCAAGCATCGACATGGCGTCATGTCTCTGTGAGGGATGCATGGATGGGTCCTTCTGGGACATGTCTGTTCCGGTCGATTAAGTGTTAGTCTGCGTTAGTTATTGTTCCCGTAACTTGGGACTATAGGCCGAATGGCCTGACAACGTCCTCTTCCAGTATTTCGGCCAGTTCTTCTGACACAGTGCTGGTCGTGAGGGCATGCGGGCGTACATCTGACCCTCAATGTGCCCACTCGTGATCTGCTCGCAGTCAGCATTGCTTCTCGCAGTTGGCAAGCCTGAGGCTTTTAGCACCATAAGCCACCCCCCCCCCCCCCCCCCCCCCCCCCACCCCCCCGCCCCCCTGCTCCCCTCCCCGCACCCCCCCCTCCCCGCACCCCCCCCAAAAATTAGTAAAAGGGTGGTTCTGGGGCTTCCGCCACAGGCGCCCACATATCAATTTATACATTTAACCTCATTCATTTTATCATAATTAAAATATAAAATATACAAAAAATCATTTTATGAACCTTTTTCATTTCATAAAATAATTTTTCTAGGGCTTTTTATTTTAAGTCTTAAATTATTACAATTATTTTTTAATGTTTAATCTTATTCATTATTTTCCTGAAAAATTACCTCATTCATTTTCCATTTTCATAAGATTACCTTATTCATTTTTATTTTTCAAAATTTAGGGGATTTTCAAAAATATTTGATTTTGAATTTTGGGGGTTGGTTCTGGGACATTAGACACCTTATTCATTATTTGTAAATATTATTTCAAAATTTTCATAATTTATGCCTAAAAAATTACATTTTTTATATATCTACCTTATGCATAATTTCAGGGATTTCATAAATTCGGGGATTTCTGGGGTGTTTGACCTTCTAATGTTTTGTCAAATATTCATAGTAATTTTTATTATGAATGTTTGCTGGGGTTTTTGGTCTTTAAGGTTAATTATTATAATCATCAAATACATCATTCAAATAATTTTTAAGTTCATCATTATTAATATACTTCTTATCAAGAAATATTAAGTTATTTAAATATTCATAAACAATTAATTTACATAACCATTTATGAGCATATGTCTTTTTATAATAACTATATCTCATTGTTAATATATTTGATTTATTATTTATAAAGTCTATTAACCACTTCTTTTCATTCAAATTCCTAATAATCATACAGAAATGAAAGGTTATTATTCTATAGCAGTTTCTCACATATGATTTTAAAACATTCTTAAACGGACTGTTTCCATTGTCAATTATGATTTTCAACTGTTTCATTTCCTTAACTATACTACCTTCATTAAAGACTGAAAATCTCGTTCTTCTAAAGTATTGTATTTGTTTTTCAATTTTACTCAAGTGCTCATTGGCTTTATTTTCTTGCTCTTTTGCTCTCATATCACCACAATAATTGCAACAATCATATGAAACGATTTTATCAGTTAAAACTTCAGGAAATAGTTTACTTAATATTATTGAGTTTGTATTTTTAAGTTTCTTACACGCGTTGCACTTGCTATAATCTAGGATGGTCATAGTTCCTACTATTCTAGGGCTTTCTGTCTTTAAGTGGATTTATTAGGATTTTTCAACCGTTATATTATATTTAGTAATAATATTATGGTTGTCTTGTTTTTGTTTAATCTTCTTCTTCTTCAAAGATATCACATAAATAATTATATATAGCTTCTAAATCAAAATATTTTCTGTAAAGACCTACTTGTTTCTGAAAATAAAGGAACAAAATAGCAACCATAATATCGCATATATATTCTTCATATTTATTTCTATATTTATAAGTCTCTCCTTCAAAGTCCCATTTACCATAAAGATAATAGATGTTATAATCCAACAACCAGAACATTCTGTATTCATCAATCATTTTTATCTTCTCTGTATCATTCAAGAACTTCTTTAACAATGGTTTTAATTCAGTTTTTGATTTATCTATTATGTCTTTTAAATAGTTCTTCTTATCTTTTAAATTTGTCAGTTTCTTGTATCCATTGTCAAAATGATTTAATATGCAATGAATTTGTCTATGTTCTACTCTTTTAAAATGAGGTATTAGTTTATATGTATCATCATAGTTTTCTTTATATTCTTTATCATACTCATACATTTTATGACAAAAGAAACAAGTTGTAAAAGACAAGATATTCTTAGTAATATTATCATCAAATAATTCATTTAATATTTCATTTCTTCTACTCTTATAACTGGTACAATATTTACAATTAAAATTGAAGTTGAATGTTTCCATTTCTCTTAATATTCTAGGGCGTTTTTTCTTTAAGTGCATTTACTTATTTACTAGCAATAATTCGTGTCTCATATATTTTTTAGGTAAGCCTTCAAGAACATAATATTTATTTAACTGCTTATCTCTTTCAACTTCTTTTACTTCATATGTTTTCTCGCTCCATTTGCTCCTTGTTTCTTTTCTGCTGGTATAATTACCGCCACTTTTTGTAAAAACCTTTACAGTGTCTCCTTCTTTAATATTTGGATAATTTCTCAAATATTTTTTCTTTCATTACTGAATTAGCTTTTACTTCTATATGATGCTCATCTTTATGTGCTTCATTCGGTGTCATTCCCGTCGTGCTGTGTTTCATTTGTTTATTGTATTTATCCAAAACAGGTTTTAACATTATTGTCCACGCTCCTTTATGAACAAGTGCCCTATCGCCTATCATTTTCTTCAAGGTTCTTATCATTCGTTCGGCTACATTCGCGTGAGTTAAAGTTGTATTATGTGTTATACCCTCATCTTTCAAATATTTTTGTAATGTTTTATCATTCAACGCTCCTTCATCATCACTATAAACTGACTGAGGATGACCCATTACTTTAAAACATTCCTTTAAAGCATTTAATACTGTTCCACCATCTTTATTATGCATTGGCACGACGTGACATTTTTTACTAAAATTATCAACACAAACAAAACCATATGTTGGATAATCTTTATTAAAGGTGTCAGTATCTTTCATTAGACTAATCATATTCATCAAATCCACTGAATAAATAGATCGGGCAAAAGGTGCTGAATAACTATTATACTGTTTGTAATTGCTTCTCTGGTTTATTGACTGACTTTTCAACCATTCTTTAACTTCATTAAGCGTTACTACTAATCCCGCTT